CCAACTTAAATGTCTCTGAACTTTAGTTTCCTCATCTGAAAAATGGCACAGACATACCTTACCTCATAGAATGGACGTGAAGATTAAACGAGAACCTGCATGAAGCATCGTTTTTTGCACAGAGTGGGAGGAGCCTGGCTCCCTCCAGCCAACACCCATCAGCAGAGCCCAAAGTTCCCTGCTGCCTTCTGTCACTGGGCCAGGACACTCTTCACAGGGCATGAGAGGGGCACGCATACCTTGCTTGTGCCTGCAATGGGCCCCTTCAATGAAATACAGGGCTAAATACAGAACAGAGATGTACAGGTGTGCAGTTGAAAAGGGGCAAGGAAAATATACAGTTGGAGATCACAGAGGGGAACAGCTTAGTCCTCTGGCAGAGGGTGTGAGCGAAGTTTTCACTGGAAAGGTGACATTTGCTGAAAAGCATAATTATTATGAGAGTTCCTTGAAGGTAATGACTTGGTGGTCTGTGTACATTGGGGCCGGCCTGGTTCAGTGCCAAGAGCAGAATGGGCGCTTAATAAATATTTGTTGGATGAATGATTTGACCTCTAAAATACTTTTATTGCTTGTCATTCAACTTCTGTGACTAATATAAAGGTAAAATTATTTAAGCAAGGAACCTCCACTTGCCATTCAAGGAATACAAATGAATTTTAATGTGCTGTTCAAAAATAGCAAAGGCTATTGAGAGCAAGGCGCTGAAACACCACCCCACTGTGAATCGGAATCACCAGTGGTGTAGCCGTGTCAAGGTGACAGGGCATCTGGCTGTAGAAGAGGTCATCTAGATGTTTTACCTGTAAAAACAGGTGGAGCAAAGAGCAAAAGTGCAGACCCAAGTGTATATATGTCACTTTGTCTGGTACTGTTTGCTTGGTACTCTTGGGAAACATTTGTGATGGGAGATCGTTTTATCATGATTGAATAAAAATACTCATTATTTAAATTTTTTTTGAAAATTTATGCCCTTGGAAGGGCAAGAAATCAATCCTAAAGTGTATATACATTACTCTATAAATGTGTTAATGTCTTCGCTTGTTCTTCCCCCTCTCTGCCTGTTTATACTGTAGTATTAATTAATGCAGCATTTTAATGAGCTTTGACGGAATTATCTTCAGGGAGTTGGCGCAGTGTGTTCCTTGGAGACACACAACTGAAGTCCCCAGTTCCTGGAAGGAAGGCTGTTCCTTATTAGCTGGGATAGCGGAAGAGTGCTGGAGAGGGGTGGGGTAGGCAGGGCTCAGCCCACCTGTGCAGGCACAGGCCCGGACCCTCTCCACGTCGCTGTGGAGGAGCCCCCGGGCTTTCATTACAAGTGTCAGACGGTTCTCCCCGAGCAAGTGCTGGTGGGATGGCATGTCAGTGTCTCTGGAGGAGCAGCCCTGACACCTCCCAACAGTCTGACAAACGGTTAAGTAGCGGTTTCAGCTTGGGTTGAGGATGAGAACATGTGTGTTCTTTCATGTTCATGTTCTTTTCATGTTACTCGAGAGATGTCATGACCTTTTGCACTGTCACCCAACCCCTACCCTGTGCCACACTGCCTTTTTAAAAAAATTGAAGTGTAGTGAATATACAGTGTTGAGTTAGTTTCAAGTGTACAGCAGAGTGATTCAGTTATACACATATGAATCAGATTCTTTTCCATTATAGGTTATTATGAGATATGGAATATAGTTCCTGTGCTATGCAGTAGGTCCTTGTTGTTTATCTGTTTTATATAGTAGTGCGTTAATCCCAAATTCCGAATTTATCTCCCCACCTCCATCACCTTTGGTAACCGTGTAAGTAACCGAAGTTTTCTATGTCGGTGAGTCTATTTATATGTGGCAAATAAGTTCATTTGTATCAAATTCTTTTTAACCAGCTTTCCAACAAATGCTAAAGGAACTTATCTAGGCAGAAAAGAAAAGGCCACAACTAGAAACAAAATTACAAAATGTATCTTTTTTTTTTTTAGATTCCATAAGTAAGTGATATCATGTGATATTCGTCTTTCTCTGTCTGACTCAGTTCACTTAGTATGATAATCTCTAGGTCCATCCATGTTGCTGCAAATGGCATTTTTTCACTTTTTGATGGCTGAGTAAAATGTCTTAAAGAAGCAAGACTCTTTACAGATGCAGATGGATTTGTGTGTGTGTTTGATTTGGGCTGCCCAACATCTGAAACCCCTTCTAGGTTTGGGGTGCTTCTCATCGAATGTTTTGGGGAAGGGCTCAGAGCCACTTTCATGTGGTGGAAAGCCAATATGTACTCCCTTTCTGAGCCCTGGAAGTTAGGGCATGAGGATTTGCTAGGCAGGGGCAATCCCTTTACATCTACATCAAGTGAGGCAAAGAAGCGGGAGTGGAGAAGTCATCTTAGAAGCAGCTACATTTAGGGGCCGGGGTCGGAAGTGTCGGTGGGGCCAGTTTTCCTGGGAAGCAGAGGCCATGCCAGACTTTTCCTGGGGTGAGAGATTGGCTGAGATTCTGTGCCTCAGCATTCTTTGGTTTCCAGTGATTTTTCCAGCCTGATTCTCCAATCTGTGGTCTGATCCTGAGAGCTGCTTGCTATTATTTTAATAAATTCCTTTTCTGCTAAATTTAGACAGGGATCATTTCCATTATTTGTAAGTGACGACCCCAATGCATTCATCTGTGTCTATGGCTCGATCACTGTCTGCTGGCCACTGAGATAATAGCCTTGACTTAAAAGCTTTGGCCAGGCATCTAAGTGTCCAGGCCACTAGTCAGCTGAATGGAATCTCCTGTTTAACACTGACTCTTAGCCATGCAGCTGCTCTTCTTTTCTTCCTTTTTTGAAATATCATCTTCATGCTGGCTCCTGCACATGTGTCTCTCTAATGACTTGCAGTACTTCAGAGCTCCCGGTTATTAAGTGAATTAGATGTAGGTTCAGTGACCTGAATGGTAGGCCAGTAGGTCAAGTGGCCTGAGCACTGTCTGAGTGAGGCCCCGGTCTGGGATTCCTTGGCCATTTGTTGGAGGCATGTCTGTCCTTTTGCCCCCAATTAATTTAGTACACACCGCTTTGTAAAGTGCCAGTGTGCGCAGAGGTAGGCCGTGTGTTCATGTCCTGCGAACGTTAAAGACCCTGACGGTTTCAACTCTGGATCCCTCTGCCAATCCCAGCAGAAGGGGAGAGACTTCTTATGCGGTAGCTTTCTGTGTGCCCCCTTTGGATTCAGGATTTTTTAATCTTTTTATTTTTTTCTTTTGGAGGCTGTGTGAGGTAGGGTGGAAGAAGAAGAGGTGAGATGGGAGAAGTAAAGGTTAAGCGTCATTATTTTTTAAGATAAAAACTTTGAACTTAACCTTATGAAATTAGACTTCTGCATGTGTCTGAGCACCAAAAATGTCCCATGTGTATTCTCACCATTTACTAAATATATAAGATCATATGTGTGTGTGGCCACTCACTCCAGAGCAGAGTTTTAACTCCTGAACAGCCATGGTTACACTTTTTCTCATTTCTCTTATCACCTCGTAGAAGCATGTAAGTTATCATAGACTTCCAGTTGTAGACGAGTAATTATATTCATTCAGGGCCTTCCCTGGTGGTCCAGTGGTAAAGAAGCCACCTTCCAATGCAGGGGATGCGGGTTCGATCCCTGGTCGGGGAACTAGGATCCCACATGCCGCGAGGCAACTAAGCCCGCGCGCCACAACTACTGAGCTCGTGTGGCTCAATGAGAGAGCCCGTGTGCTGCAAACTATAGAGCCCGTGCGCTCTGGAGCCTGAGTGCCACAACTAGAGGGAGAAAACCCGCACACCGCAACTAGGGAGAAGCCCGCGTGCCACAGCAAAGAGCCTGCGAGCCGTGACTGGAGGGAGAAAACCCACACACCGCAACTAGAGAGAAGCCCGCGTGCCACAGCGAAGAGCCTGCGTGCCGCAACAGAAGATCCCGCATGCCTCAACGAAGACCCCGCGTGCCGCAGCTAAGACACAATGTGGCCAAAACAAGAAAAACAAATTATATTGGCTCAAAGAGAATTTAGGAAGGAAACAGAGATGTGCTTCTGTTTTAAAACAAAACACAAACTTGGACTCTCTAACATGCCACATTGACACCTGCTCTTGTGAGACCAGTGTTGCCATTGCTCTCAAGGCTGCATCTGGGTTGTGTGTCAGTCCCAGTCCAATAAGTGTGCTGACACCTATATGCCTGTCCACCTCCCCAATTCCCACACAGGGCTTACACGGCTTGCTAAAAAGAGAGGCTCACGTTCAATCTTTTAGCAAGCACAATTTTTTTTTAATTGAAGTGTACTTGATATACAGTGCTGTGTTAATTTCTGCTGTACAGCAAAGTGATGGTTATACATATATATATACATTCTTTTTCATTATGGTTTATCAGAGGGTATTGAATATACAGTAGGACTTTGTTGTTTATCCTTTCTATATCTAATAGTTTGCATCTGCTAACCCCAAACTCCCAATCCATCCCTCCCTCACATCCCCTCCCCCTTGGCAACCACAAGTCTGTTCTCTATCAGCAAGCCCAATTTTATTGTTACAATATGTGGAATCTAAAAAATGATGCAAATGAACTTATTTACAAAACAGAAACAGACTCATAGATTTAGAAAACAAATTTACAGTTACCAAAGGGGAAAGGTGGGGTGAGGGATAAATTAGGAGTTTGGGATTAACATATACACACTACTATACATAAAATATACAATCAACAAGGACCTACTGTATAGTACAGGGAACTCTACTCAGTATTCTGTCATAACCTAAATGGGAAAAGAATCGGAAAAAGAATAGATATAGGTATATGTATAACTGAATCACTTTGCTGTACACCTGAAACTAACACAGCATTGTAAATCAACTATACTGCAATATAAAATAATAATAATAATTGGAAAAAAAGTGCATGACTTTTGTTCACTTTGCCTCTGTCACTTTTGAGATTCACTTGCCTCTGACCAAGGAGATTCCTTTGTCTCTGACCCACATCTGTGTTCTCTTTGCAGGGAAGAGCGATCCCTTTTGCTTGTTGGAGTTGGGAAATGACCGACTTCAGACACATACCATTTACAAAAACCTCAACCCTGAGTGGAACAAAGTTTTTACATTGTAAGTACTTTAGCCCCTGGAATATCAAAGAGCGGCTTTAACTCAGAGACCAATTATCCCTGATATGTTTGGGGCAGTCTGGGGCTCTTGAGTGGAACTTTCTGTCCATTTTTATGGGCAAAGACCGAAGTTTATTGTTTTTCTTTTTCTGAAAACCTTTTATGCTTTCATTTTATAGAGTATAGTGTTAATAATAGAAGAGACCATTTGGAACTGCAAGGGAGTGTTATAGGAGAGGCATTTGTAAAGTAGGTCTTTTAGTGACTAAATTAATCTGTGAGTAGAAGGAAGCTTCCATAAATCCAGACTACTTCATTCCTGGGTTAAAGGAAATTACAAATGTAGACCTGTCTTTAATTCAAGGAGCTTATATGGTACAACATTATTTTAATATCTGAAGGCTTGTATTCTGCCAGAGTCTTTTGGAACATATAGATTATCTGCAATTCCTCGAGGACTCCCAAAGGCCCCTTATATTCCAGATTCTCTGAATGACCTGCTCCGTAGTGATGTTCACTTTTCAGACTCAGGCATTTAGGAGGCTGGGTATATTCCTAGTTTGCTTTAGATTCCAAGGCGTCTGGCCATCAAGGGGGAGGCCCCTTTTTGAATTTGGGTGAAATGGTGGTACACTGGCCTCACAACACTGAAGAAATGCTCTGTCTGTGCTTATAACTGAAAGAATATATCTCGTATTGAATGGAATTGGTGGTTCCCAAGCAGAAACTTCCCAAGGATCTATGAGAAGAAGATTAGCTGTGCTAAGCAGGTTTGCAACTTGCCATATGCAAGTCTCTGGTTTGGTCAACACCCTGCCAGTGACCATGGCTCCGTGTTTCATTGTAGCCAATGTCTGGCTTCCGGTCAACATAAAAACTGTTTATAAGTATGTAAATACGCATGAGACTTTTAGTACTCTGTGTTTCAACAATAGGATGCTTTCTAGGGATCTCGGCAAATAGTGATTTTGACCTTTTTTTTTTTTTTTTTAGGGAATTCTTCATTAGTTTAAAGTAAAGTAAATTTGATTTTTGTTCTTCTCATTTGGAAGCTACTTTGAAATCACTGTCCTCCTTATTCTGTCCCCTGTTCTCTTTCTTTATCCTGTTTCTTTAACAGTTCTGCCCTTGAGTACACATATACATGGAAAATGTCATAGTAAAAAAGTTGACTTTTTTTTCCATATGGATGTCTGAATCTTCTCTGGTGGAAGGTTTGGGAATAGTCAGTTTGATTTAATTTTTGGAATTTAATTAAATGGTACTTTTATACTCTGAGGACATACAGATTTAATTAGTGAAACCGTGTTTTCAGATCTTCGTGGAACAGACTTCACTTTTGTGTTTTTGTATCTAATGCATGGTGTGTTTCTTGTTTCAGTCCCGTTAAAGATATTCATGATGTTTTGGAAGTGACTGTGTTTGATGAAGATGGAGATAAACCCCCTGATTTTCTTGGGAAAGTTGCCATTCCCTTGCTGTCTGTAAGTTACCTTCGTTAATGTACAGTGTGTGAGTCATTTTACAGTTGACAAGTTTCTATGGTCTAGAGTTGCTTTATCTTTGTCAATCTGGGGGGGCGGGGATCCTCCCAGCTATAGCAGGAAACAGCTGTTTTATTCCTTATCGTTCTCCAGTAGTTTCAGTAGTTTCAGATGTAAAGTCACATAATTTTCTCTGTGTGTCAATTGCGTATTGATTTAACCAACCAAAACATTTTGACCGGTCTTTCAATCCACACTCAGTCTTTCCATCTTAAGATAGGAGTTTCTCTTTTGTTTCAGGGAATACATATCTATGACTGATTTTCCATTGGTGAATGAAAAACATCCATGTTTTTCTTCATTGCTTCCTTACTGCCCATTTCTTCAAAGATTACTTGCTGGTAACTGCATAGTTGTTCTCAATTCCACTAAAGACCATTTTCTCAAAAATTCTGTTTGTCTTTTTAGTAGTCCCGTTTGTTTTCAGTCTCCAAAAGCGCTTTGTGGGAGAAAGCAGAGAGCCTCTCTTGGAAAAAGAGTGCTGTTTTGGTAGTCCCCTTAAAAGGTAATGTGTCAGAGTGAGCTAAGAGCTGAATGAAAATAAAATACCCTATAAAATTCAGAGCATGATATAATGTCTTTACATGGGCAAAGGTAGAAAGCTGGGATCTGAATTCACCTATTAATTGGGCATTTATGTTTATGCCAAATGTACTCTTCTAGAGGAGAAAATTTCAGTTTTTCATCCAACCATTCATACAATGTGTGGTAGAGTTGTAACGGCATTTATCAGTGAGGAAGGCTTTTTTTCTTTCTTCCCAAACACTTATTTCCCCAAAGCTCTTAGTGCATTTTTGTGGCTGGAGCAGTCTGTAATTTATCCATGAGATTAGACTAGCTCACATGGTGTTTACAGAGGGAGAAACGCTGCACCTCTCAATATCTCTTATCTTTTTGATTGCTTGGTTAATTTCTCCCCAAGTTCTCATATCCCTGATGTTACTTGAAGAGCATTGTGGAGCAGCTGCTCCCTTGCAGAGCTGGCTGCTGCCGAATGTTCTGAGCCACCAGCAGCAAGACACGCCGGCTCTCAGAGAGGAGATGGTGATGTGGGATTCCCCTCCTTTTTTTTTTTATTACAACTTTGTCAGTTATTCCTAAAAGAATACATGTAACAAGAACATGGCGCACAATTTTAAAGAGGTCTAAAGGGACAAGGAACCAAAGCTCTCCATTAGAATTTAGTGTCCTTTCTCTCTAACATTTATTTTTTTTGGACATTTCCCCTCTTGTTTTATAGATAAATCCTTAGTAGCATATTTGATTCCTTGCTGAGTGAACGCCACTTCGTATCTTTATTAACCTCCCTCTGTTTCGCATGTAAACATTTTGTGTGTTTGGTCTTCCTAGAATACCAACAAGTTGACTGACTTTCTTTCCTCCCTCCCAAGTAATGTACAATCGCTATACGCTGTGGAGTTAGATCTAAGAAATTACCTCTGGCTAAATCAGGTTTAGGTTTTCTCAACCTCAGCACTCCTGACACTGTTGGACGGATCGTCCTCTGCTGTGGGGACTGTCCTATGCACTGTATGAAGTTTAGCAGCATCCCTGACCTCTACCCACTAGATGCCAGTAGCACCTATCCACCCATCACTGTTGTGATAACCAAAGATGTCTTGCAACATCGCCCAGTGCTCTGAAGGGGGCAGAGTCACTCCTGGTGGAGTGGAGAACCATTGACCTAAATTAATAGAGCTTTCAAACTATATCCTTCAAAATACAAGATAGAGTGATTTGTGAAAGACTTTGTTTCAATGCAAGCAAGCCCATTAGCCCCCTTAATTTTTCAGGTTGCTGATAAGCTGCCCCACAATCTCAGCATTCATTTGATAAATATTTATCAAGTGTTCAGTGTGTGCCAAGAATTGTTTTAGGTGGTAATGTTCTAACAATTATCACAGTGAAGCTATGTCCTCTCCTGGAACTTATCTTTTGATTGCAGGAGGCAATATACAAACCAGAAAAAAAAAAAAAAAAAAAAAAGCAATGCACAGTAGGTTAGATGGTGAAAAGTGCTATGTAGAAAATGAAGCAGGGGGAGGGGCCTCCAAGAGGATGTGTGTGGGGAAGGGATGCAGTTTTCCGTGATTCAGGCAGCGATTACCTCACTGGAAAGGGAACATTTGACTGAGAACTTAAGTAAGTAAGGGAGGGGAGAAAACCAGGAGGATATCTGGGGAAACTCTTCCAGGCAGGAAATCTTCAAGTTCAAAGGTTCCAAGGCCAGGCCTTGACTGTCAAATTCCAAAAATAGCAGAGCCATGTGGTTGGAATAGAGTGAGTAGAGAATAGCAAATGTGAGATAGGAAAGAACAGGGGATAGGGTGGCGTGGAAGAGGACCTTGTAGGACCCTGACAACCTGAAAGTTAGAAGGACTTTGGCTCTTTCTTAGTGGTGATGGGAAACCACAGGGAGGTTTCCAGCCGGGGAGTGTTTGATTTGGTTTATACTGCTTGTTTCTAATATAAATGTAGCACGTGGAGAAATAAGCCCAGATCTGAAAGGTCTCTACTGTGTCAAGGCAGTGTGGCCTGAGCCACGTTCCCCCTTAGGGACTCGGGGGGCCCAGGGATGTTGAGCTGAATAAGACATTTCAGTGGTTGTTGTTCAGCATGGCTGTTTCAGTTCATATTTATTTCTGATGCTTTGACCAGTAGATTGGGAAAGTGATCAGATCTTACGTAAGATCTGTGTGGGCTCTTCCCGATACACCCGCAACATCCCTCTCCAAATGAAATGATTCCCTACCTAGAGTGTAGATATAAATGTGATAGAAAAAAAAGGCCATAACGTTATCCTCAGTATCTGTAACAGGCAAATTTTGTTATTCCATTGATCATTTGATTTTTTAAAAAATTTATTACTTATATCTATAGTATTTATATTTATAAATTTTGTTTATATTTATTTTAAAATAATTCTAACTTGTGATTTAGAGGGTATATTTTAAAATGTATTTAGATCTACGTTTTTTCTTTATTTAATGTCTATTGAGCAATACTTACCTAGAGCCCTGCGCTGTGCACTTACCATCATTAATTCTATGACAGCCTAATGAGGCGTGCTTTATTATTATGACCATCTACAAATGAGGAAACTGAGGCAAAGAAAGACCTGTAGCTGGTAAGTAGGGGAGGCTGGGTTTGAATTAGGCGGTCTCATATCAGAGCCATCCTAAGAGGATGATGTGCTGCCATAGTGAGTAGCTGTTAAGTAAATATTGTGCCAAAAGCCATAACCAAGATCTGTTTTGTGCAGCCACTGGGCTCAGTGCAGTGGAGGTGGGGGGCAGGGGGGCAGGTGGGATACAGAGTTAAGTAAAGACTTGCATTTCATGGGAGATGCCTGTGAGATGACCGAAAATATTAGGTGCCATATAAAAGGAACAGGAAAATGCAAGGTGGGAGGGCTGAATTTAACTTTGGGAAGACTTTAGAAAGTGGGGAGTCTGAGCTGGCCAGGAAGGAGTATGGTGTTGATAGGGACTGCTGGGTGAGGTGAAGAATGAAGGCCATTTCAAGCAGAGGGGAAAGCATGAGCAGAGAAACAGCAGGGTAAAGGAGAGGCCACATTCTGGAAGCAAAGAGCGGCCTTGGTGCCTAGCTCTCGGTGTGAACAGGGAGGCTGGAGAGTGCAGCTCAGGAGGGGTGGAGAGAGTTTGGGGCCTATTCTGTGAGCGGGGATTATCTGCAGGCTTTGGCATGGATATAACAGAGCAGTTAACTAGGAAGAAAGTTTGGCTCCTGTGTGAAGCAATTATAGGGGAGGAAGACTTCCTGGAGGAATTGGTTGCAACTCCAGAAAAAAAGCATCAAAGAGAAAACCCTTCAATTCTGTGCTCTATGCCTCTTAGGAAAAGGATTTATTTCCCTGCTTTTTTAATATTTTTAGTCATAAAAATGGATTCGTTGGTGCTTCACTATTACTTCTATAGGATATGGAACAGTGTCCTATAATACCTTGTTTCGTATTTAAAAACAAAAATTGTATTTCTTAGAGCGTGCGTAATTTTTGTGAGAACATGTTTTCTTTAATCAAGTCATAAACTAAAACTTGATTTACACTTTCAGAGAAAATGCAAACTACATTTTAAAACGTCTAAGTGTAAAGTATTGAAAGTACTTCAGCTTTTACTCTCTCGAAACGGTAATGTGCTAAGTGCATTTCAGCCTGTTAAATAAAGAGCCTGTTCTGAATTCACTATATCTTTTAATCAGGGTGAATATATTGGATGACTCTTGGCTCCCTTAAAATTCATATTCTAAAATCAGTATATTTATTAATGGTGGTGAATTGTTCAAAGCATATACATGTGCTCAGATATACATCAGAATTGAAAAAATACAGGACAGTGAGCCATCCTTCCATAGATTTCATTTCTGTTCAACTTTTTAAAAAACAGTTTTTTAAAATGATTATATAGATATGCAAAACTTTTTACTCATGATTAAAAGCAGTAGAAAATTGCAGTTGGATTGGATTATAATCTGAAAAAATTTTTTTTCTTTGGCCGCACCACAGGGAACTTCCCCCACCAGGGATCTAACCTGTGCCCCCTGCAGTGGAAGTGTGGAGTCTTAACCACTGTACCACCAGGGAAGTCCTGAAAACTTTTAATATTTGTACATTTCCACATTCTTCCAAAAATCTTCTAATCAATAATATAGTAAATATACATTGGAAAACAGTAGGAATGTTTTAGTTTTAAAACATTCCCAACATAGACATTGTCTCCTAATAATTACCCAGTTCAGTAGATTTATTTTTCATTGCTATTCTCAATTAAGTGACCTTGATTTTGTGGTGAAAATCTGGCTAAGTTCTTCTCATCCTTCTTATTTAAACATGTGTTTACCCTCCTAGAATTAATTATCTAATGGGTCAATTTTGGGAGACTTTGAAAATCAGCTTTCTGTAAAATAGGAAAAGCATCTGT